TGAATAAAATTCAATTTTCTTATAATAATTGAATGCAATTCCATGTCGAAAACCCTTTAATCTGGATTCACAGTCGGATGGCTAGCATGATATATTATGTGTATATTAAAAGAACAACTGACGTCACGTGTGATGTTGGCCTCTATATACGAAATCGACTATTGGCGTGAAGATTAAGTTAATGGGGTTCCTAAATCCCACCTAAGGAGGGAGGCCAAATTAATGATACAAAGCTTTTTTGAGGATGAGGAGTTAGGAAACAAAATTAAATTGGGTTCTTCCTTTTAATCCTCCATTAGTTCCAAATGTTTTTTTGCAGTCTTTTAATACGTAGTGAGGCAAATATTGCGTCTCGTCCTCATGTTGGAAGACATTAAAGTTTAGACAAGATAATGAAAGTTTGTATATGTGAAAATCACTTTGTTCATCCTTTGTTTTTTTTAGATAAACTTGAAACTATCGCCGAAAAGAGCTCAGAGGACGATTTAAAAGGTAAATATGCAACTTCAAGTTGACTACTTTCTTACAGAATTTAATGAAAGCAGTGTTGCACCAATGGAGATTCCCAAGACAAAGGAAAACAAACACAAGCTTCGAACTAAAGAAATGTCCGTTCTACAATTAAAGCTAACAAAATTAGCCATTCAAATAGGCTATATAGGTAAGTATAACTCACTCACTTATAAGACAACCCCATTTAGGTACTGTTCTGGCTTCCGCAACTGTGTTAATATTGATCATCAAGTTCTGTGTAGTTGAATTTGGTCAAAAGGGAGAGACGTGGGAATCTGGAAGGCACTTGAAACAGCTTATACACTTCTTCATCATTGGAGTAACTATTCTAGTTGTTGCGGTGCCTGAGGGTCTTCCACTAGCAGTAACACTCTCGTTAGCCTACTCCGTCAAGAAAATGATGAAGGTATGTGGCAAATTTTTTTTCAACCTTTCTTGTCTCAATATAACGTTTCGAAGTGTGTAGGTTAGAGTGAACGTTTCAGTTAGTCTGGAATTTTGTATTATGAGCTTGATTGCACATTGGTCGCCAATCAAAGATAAAAGAACCCTATAAATGGGAAATTTCCGAGGCAACCTCTCCTACGCAAAATTGATAAAAAATAGCCGTTTCAGATAGGCAGATCTGAGTTCATAAAATGCCATATAATAATAATAATTTTCGTTACTCTTGGAAAGATATGGAGAATTATTACAGCTCAACTGCAAATAATCAATAAAGTTGGCACAAAGTAATAAAAAGAAATGTTGCGATCGACCTTAAAACGTTCCCGCCTGACACTTAATTCCCACACAGGAGCTTGACATCCAAGCCTATTTAAAACTATGTCACAATATTTTGATTAAAAATGCTACATTCTCACCCTGATGTTGATAGATATTCTCAACAGTATGAGCACATATGGCGGTGAAAAACAATTGTGCAATCTTCCCACGCATGTTGCTTAACATCCCGTATTAATACCTTATCGTTTTTTTGTTAAATTTCCCTTTGCCTTCTTCCATAAGTCTGGTGGTCCATACTGTGTTTAATACTCTTTATTTTTTGACGTAAACAGGCTAGCATAATTTTCATCTCTTCCTTTCATTACTACTGCATTTCAATACTTTACTCCTCTGGGGTACTAATTAATGAGTACGTTAAAGCACACGTTGAAGTCAGTACACCTCGATAAAGGGTAGAGGACGTCGGATACAACTTTGACTTAGTTAAGAGTTGAATGTGGAGTTAAATTGTAATCAAGATTATTTATCATTAACTACGTCATTTCCGCTCTGCCTGTTTTTTACTTACCTATATAATTTTGCTAACTCATATCGTACTCGCACCTCCGGGATTGATTCCTTATGTTTAATGTCTCAGTATATTTTGCATAATGGTACTTAAGCGAGTTATTGTAAAATTAAAAGCTGATAATTTAATGACTCTTGGATTTAACCATAGAGGCAAAATAGTTTGAAAAATATACCAGTATTTTGTTGAGATCCTTGATTTGCTTGAATCTGTCAACACTGCCCCAACATTTTGAGAAGGCATATGCATCAATGTTCAATAAGCAAACTAACGCATAGGCAGTTAGTGGTAAAATAAATAAGGATGTAAATACAATTGGATTGGCCCCTTACATATGCATTCAGTGCAACTGTGCAATCAAAAGTATTTGAAAATAAATGAGGATGAATACCTTAGGTGTAGAAGATGCTTTACTTTTCCATACTGTACACCCATAATCTGAATAAGAAGTTTTACTTTAAGCCTATCTAATGTGAGATCAAATGAGACAGAGGGAGATAGGTGATAGCTGTGGTTGAAGTCATAAGCAATGACTAATAAAACTATGCTTTTCATCAAAAAGAACAATTGGCCTATAACACGAAGACACTTACTCGGCTGTCCGGACTCAAGATCATAATCTAGATTTATGTCAGTTAAATGAGTAGACTGTCTATGAAAAGCGATTTATCCACAGCACAATAAAACATGTACTTTAGAGGTGAGGTAATCCTGATCCACCTTATTGGGAAGCTTTCGTTCACATGCTTCAAGCAGAATCGAACAGTGTTGTAAATCATCTGAATTGCCTGATTAATAGAAATATGGACCGATTTCGTTATCGCTGAATCGTCAGATACACGCATATTCACTGCCTCAAATCAATTGAATCAAATGATTGAATTTTGGTGATGTCACAGGCATAGACTACGACATCGTGACCAGTTCATTTCCGATACCGTCTGAAAACAAATAAAATAACAAAAATATATATCAATATAGTATCTCTTCTAAGCACTTTAAAATTCGTAACCACATCGATGTATCTTAGACTTAAGTCCAAAAGTGCGTAAAATGAGAAATCGCGATAATTATTAAATGACTGGAGTTTCTCTTCAGGTCAACAATCTGTTCGAGTGAAATTGCGTTGTACATTCATGCTATTCCGGTGCATATCTTAGTTCTCCATTCGTTAAACATAAATTATCCCAAAAATTGTTCTGCACGGTTTGCTCAGCTGTCGCTGTTTTCCCACAAACGAGAACTGAATAAAGCTGTTTGCTTTACCGGAAATAATTTATTAACAATATTTTCTATGCGTTTGATCTTCTTCGATCGGGTTAAAATGAGCCCTATAAATTACCCAAATCATCATTTTTTGTAAATTCATTCAATTATTGGGCACATTGTCCAAGAATTAGTCTATTTTTGGAATCTTTAAAGTTAAGACGAAATGGTCTTTAAAATAATACATCCTGAATCGAGTTTATAAAATTCAGATATTTTGAATGAAATATATTTTGAAGAAAGTAGGCTAAACAAATTGCTACACAATTAATGCAAAGCGAAAAAAAATCAATTTTTGTTCTCCAACTATCAATTTATAGCCACTAAAGTTTTAATGTTAGCTACTGAAATAGCAAACAAAATCAACTTTAAACACGCATTTTGGCGTAGGTATTTGAACTGTTTAACCACCCTGGATACTGCTTAGTATTGATTTTGATTAAACAGAATCTAATAATTTTTACATAAACAATATTAAAAAAATATTCCAAAATAGCTTGCTGGGGTGCCGCTCTACGATGACCTTTTTTACACTTTCAGCAAAGTCAAAAGCCATGTGGCATTTTGGGTTAATGCCACATGGGAAAATTGCCTTTGTTAATGATTAATTCTATGTCCACAGGCACTAAAACTTTCACCACAGTCCGTTTTGCAATCTTGTCAGCAATTATACAAAATAGTACATTTCTATTGTTTTCCTTGGACACGCTAGTGCCAACTGATAGCATTTGGCAGCGTTATCTTGTCCGGTAGTAAGATTTGCCGATGCTTCTCTGTTAATTTGGTAGCGCTAAGGTTCTATCTTCATTGGTTGCATTGGTTTTTATGCCAATTCACTCATTTGCAACGCTGCAATTCAAAACTGCACATGATCCAAAAGTCAATTTTTATCAATACAGAGTTAGTTTTACGAGTAAGCATATAAGAATGCATGGGATGATGGCGCAGCAGCTAACTCATTCGTCTCAGAAGTCAGAAATCATTGGAACATACCAGGTGGGTGGAATAGCGAAACGCACCGACTAAGAACTAACTTGAAAAGTGGGTTTCAGAGTTTGAGTTTTCCACCTAGAACGCTTTGTGTTGTTTTCCACATAAACATTCAAAAAGATATTACCTAAGTGCTCTTGGGACTTACTTAAAGGAGAATAATGTAATTTTTTTGGTTAAAAAAGTGCTGGGAATTTCAGGCCATTTTTGTAATACCAGAGCTCAAACAGAAAAGGTGCACTTTCACAAGGTCAGTGGAAAGTGTTGAGCTTCAGTTCAGGCTATTGCATGTTTCAACAAGCTTCAATTGAGAACGTAATTGAAGATAAAGTTAGTAAGAAGGGGGGGATTTAAAAAGCAAAAGAGGGTTGCCCTTTTAATGCAAACTTCAAAATAGACCAAAATTATTGATTGGGTTGCAATCGCGCAAAAGTATCGATCACCGGGTGTCATCTAGACGCTCATAATGCAAAGTAAACCGCCAATAGGAGGGGTGAGGAGATCCAGCTTGATTAGTAATCTTGCAGGCTAATGAGGTTCTCTAAACGTTTGGGCATGTGACGTAGTAAGGTTATCTTTTTTCCGAATTATTAATGTTATAAAGTGCTTTACTTTAAAAATATGTCAGGTTTATATTTAGGTTTGCCGTAACTTTGTGCAATGAAATGCTATCTTCTGAACCTTGAGATTCACCTCGTGATTTAAGTGAAAATTCTGAGTCCATGAAAGGTGAAGATTAATTTAAACGATCCAATATTGTATGTTTAGTATCGTCAACTGTAAAAGTAATTAAAAATTATCTTGGAACTTAAAAAAATTAAAATTACTGTTTTAGGAGCTTGATTTATCAAATTTATCAGGCGGAAATAATAATAATCGCCCGGATCGATAAAATAGACCTTCCAATGATAACTGGAAAGCGATGAGGGAGATTGGGGAATTTAAAAGGCAAGGGACATTCGTCAGGATGGTGTGAATAGTCGCAAAGTTGTAGTAAAAAAAGCTAAATCGAGGTATGATGTGGAAAGTGCCTCCTTTAACCTCCTTTATTATCTAACAAGCAAACTTTTGGGAGGGCACATAAAGTTGGAACATCACAGCAGAATAGGTGGAAGTATGTTCGATAGAACTATACGCGTTCATGTAACAAATTTGCGCAAAGAAACTATGCACCTGCTTGATTATTTTATTGATGAAATTTTATATTTTAATTGTATTTGAGAAGAGAAGTTAAGAATGCAGCAATTTTTACGAATCAATGGGTAGAGTCTCGATTGAACTTCATTAAAAACGTCGTCCTATATTTAACTGAAGGTCACTATGGGAGGTGATCGGTCACTGGAATACCAAACGTCTTGTGCAAGTATTTGCAGGTTTTTTATATCCACTTTGGTCACTTTTCATGTACAAACTTTGTTACTTCTGCACTATTATCATATAACAATGTAGTTAGTCAGCCATATCCCTCTTGAATTTAAATTTCATAAAGAAGGTTTATTATTGTAATTTAACTAACGTTAACTCACAGCTTATGGACAGTTTAGAAATCAGAGTAATAGGCAGATGATAACGCCAGATTACAATAGAAGCAAGGGGTGTGCGATAAACGTACCTCCATGTGGTGCACCCTGGGCAACGTATTCTCATACGGCAAAAAAGTCTATTAACCGACAGTTGACTTCTCACTTCAAATTACCATCACCCCCAACTGTATGTCATTTTTGACTACTTCCACAGTACTCACCTCACCTTTTTTCTACCTTTGTGTCTGTCTCTTTTATATTTTTGAAATGCTCTTCTCTTCCCTCTCCCTCCCTCTCGACTTTTTCCCCTTCGATGTTCCTTCCCCTCTGTGGAGTCTGAAGTCAACTAAAGGGCTAATGATAACTATCAAAACGCCTGCCATTTGATATAAATAAAAAATAACAATAGAAGCAAACGTTGTTTTATTGAATATCTAACCCATTAGAAAAGGCCAAGCTTGTTCCATTTAATATGGCGGAAAAAGGTAAATAATGGCACTTTCGGGTAGTCCTTTGAGTCATCCAATGATATCTTCCTCGATATCTCATGGCAATGAGGCAAAAAATCAATCGTTAAATATTCCAATCACATTTTAGCATTTGAGCTCATTTAGGATGAGGCCTTTAAGAGCCTTATTTTATGTGAATTCTGAAAATAATAAGTCAGAACTTTCCATAAGACGTATTATTCACTTGCTGATGCCAAAGTGTTCCGACCATCAATCTTCTTGATTTGAACCCAGAAATTTGGTAGTGTTTGAAAGCTGTTTTCCAATCATTCAAAATAAGTGAATCGATTTGCCACGTTGATTCTTTTCTTTAAGCAAATTTTAGCCAGTAGTTTTTTGTCCATGGATACAAAATAAAAAGCAAGGAACAAAATTTCTTACGATATCATCAAGCAATGAAATGGGATACAAACATTGGAATTTATTATTTAACTCATATATTTATAATCTATTTTCAGGAGGTGAGGTTATGAGAATGATTAATACATTGATTATTTTATCAAATTATTTTCGATTAAACAATTGGAGTATTCATTCCAACTTCCCACTAACATGGACTAATTCCACTTCTTACTTTTATGGCAATTGTTTCTCTGTGGATTCTAAAAATTGAATAACGTTTGCTGTTTCCAAATTAATAGGTCAATCTTTATCCGATATAAATATATATTTTACCATCCTACTGAACTAAGTGATTCATTTTAGAGAACAATTTAAATGCTCACTTTTTGTTCATGAAATTATAATTTTTATATGACATTGGTTAGTGGCTTTGATTGATCAATGTGATGTTAAAAGTAAACTTAAAATGCTTGTTTCTATGTAGATTAATGTCAAATTTTGGAGCAAAGTTTTGTCAAACGATGTGATACATTGAAATGATTCCAACTTTCTAAGATTCTTCTCACTATATAAATTATTAGAAAAAGTTGTTCAGAACGGCTACATCAATTACATATTCATATGCTTTATTGTGTATTCTAACAAACATATAAATTGCCAAAATACGCTTTCACCTCACCAGATGTCTTTTAGTCCTATATATGTGTTTTCGAAGTAAAGATTATCATTAACTATTAAGCCGAAGTTAGTCCTTGGGAAACGCTTCACATTCGAATATATATTACACACCTTAGTACTACTTATCTTCATTTTTATAGTGACAACACACTTTTTGTAATTACTAGGATAATAATCTGGTTCGACATTTGGATGCATGCGAAACTATGGGTAACGCAACAGCAATCTGCTCCGATAAGACGGGAACTCTAACAACGAATCGCATGACAGTCGTCGAAGCTCACTTCACCGATCGAGTCATTGAACTTCAAGAGCTGGAAACTTTGAAGAAATCCAATTCTGCGAGGCTTCTTAGTGACAACGTTATGCAGAAACTGGAGCTTGCTATTGCTATCAACTCATCCTATACTTCCAGACTGCAGGTGAGTTGGTAATGCCATTTTCGAGAAGGCTGTTTGTTTGGCTATTGATTATTTATTTGTTTTAATTAATTGAGCGTCTCGAAATTGTGGGATTTCAGGCATCTTTATGCTGAGTTCTTGTTGTAACGCGTCTATCTAGATGGTATTTCAGGTAGGCCATTTCATGTAGTTTAATTGCCGAACAGTATAAAGCCGTCCAGAAATTGGTTAAAGAAGTCACAAAGGATTAGGTTAAAAACAATTGGTGCTTTGACTAAGCCTGTGCTGACTCCAGCTATAATGATGCATTGATTAAAACGTTCCATCCCATATTATGTTCAATACCTCTGCTTAAAGTAATTATTGGCAGGTAAACAGGGAGGGGATTATATAAGGGGACAAAAAGCGGAATAAAATGAAAATATGCAAGCTTAGTAGGTCCTTCGTTGATAACATTTTGTCCATAAATGTGAAATGAGTGTGTGTGTGTTTGTGTATTTATATTGAAGCATCTAATCCCAGAGGATCGATTAAAATGTTCTTTCCCAACTCCTATATTCCATACACAAGTCCGAATGTCGTTAGAGGGAATCGTAAAATGCTTCATACGTAAATGAACGAACCTAATATTGTCTATCTTAACTACATTAACAGTCTGCAGATGTACATAAATAGAATTTGAAGCTCAACAATAACGATAATGTTTCAGCTGACTTAATTTATTTAAAATTAACCAGAATTATTCACATGGGAGGGCATAAATCACAAATGCTTAAATGTGTCAGTGTGACGTAGACATTCTTCCCTTAGAAATTCAAGTCAATGAATTTTTATGGGAATAATGAAGCGTGCTGAGTCAGCACTGTAATATTGTGTAATTCAGGGCCACCGGATATCAGTCAACTATTCAAAATCAAATTTTAGACACACATTTATTGTTTTTATTAAAAGCAAATATGCTTCTAAATAAGTGGTTGTTGACCGGACACAGCAGGCGCCGGCGACTTCATCGTTTCGTGGTTGTATCTCTTCTTGATTTTATTTCTGAATAATGTTCAACCTCTCATTTTCCTTTCTCTTTTCTATTTTTTTGTGTCGTGGCAACGAGTTTTTTTAATTTTTACGGCTTTAGAGTAGGAGATCCCGAGTTTGGTTTATTGATCCTTTTTGTGTCCAGCAGTCGAACCCTAATTTTTTAAAATTAGTTGTTAGAAAACACACAGGGCTCATTAAATATACTGCGAATTGTTTTTTTTTTCAAAAAATTTCTCAAGATGGTTGAAAAATGAGCATTAAAGTGAGGCTTTACATTCCCACCTTTTGCTTAAAAGCAAATGTACAATTGGTGGCTTAATTCGAATGACTACAAGGGGAATGATTTTATGACTTTTCTACGCATCCAACCCACCCCAGCCCCTAAGCATGGGTTGACACTCTAAATTTTTATTATATAGCGCGCAATATACGATATACTAAAATGCCATTTATTAACCATATTGGCGTTTCAGCTTTGTCACCAATCGCGACACTTTGAATAGCAACACGGCAACAGTAATGGATTTCATGATTTAACTCCAGTTATGTAAAATGAAGCTTTGGCAGTAATTTTCACGTCAAAAATATATTATCAAAATTTGAGTATAAAATGGAACGTTTTAGAGACCCCCAGAAAAGTAACTATTACTTAAATGCTAAATACCATGGAAGCATTTGTATATAATTTTTTTGACACTTCGGACTTCATTGCAGGACTCGTGAATAACTTTTTCTTGCTAGTATTATTTTGATTGGTCGTATCTACACTTCCTCTTGACCCTTTACCGCAATTTCGAACACTACCAATCTTGGATAAATGAAACCCAAAGTAACCATTGACCTATATCGGGGACGCCTTTCAATCAGTTCGTTGAATTTCATCATTTAGGTGTTGAGTTAACTATCAGGTCAACCCATGTCTTCCACTACCTGCATAGTCTCGAATTCAGAACTAGACTCTTAGATGAGAACTAGAATTTAATGTCAATGAGACTAACTAAAGGTTTAATCACTCGGTGTTTTGTATTAACGGCGGGTGCATAGAAGTAGAAAGCATGTAACGAATAGGCGGACTACAACAAGAGGAAATCCTTTCTCGGATAACAATTTGCTTCCTGAATCATGACTCATACAGTCATCTGTAAGGGAATGATTAGCGTCCACTACCTAAAGATGCATTTGTCTTTCCTTGTTCACAACCTAAGCCTTCGTCCCCTCCTGCCGTTATTATACCAAGTGCTAATGGTCAAAGTGGTAGCACAAATAAGAGAAATATCAATGGGTAAATTTATCCCCCCCCCAACAACACCTCAATCGCTCCATTTCATACGACAAAAAATGGTTCTTCGCATTGAATGCTGTCAACTTAGCTTTTATCGGGTGAAAAAATAAGGAAGCCAATATTTATTTATAAAAAAATGGCAGGTGTTTTGATAGTTATCATCGGCCCTTTAGTTGATTTCGGGCTTCGCAGTGGGGAGGAACATCAAAATGAGAAGAATTCGGGATGGGGAACAGAAGAGTGACTTACAGATGTAAAAGAAACAGACTGACACCAAGCCTCAGAAAAGGTAAGATGAGTACTGTGTTAGGGGTCGAATATGACATAGTGGGGTGATGGCAGTTTGAAGTGAGAAGCCAACTGCTGGTTAATAGACTTTTTTGCCGTATGAGTATTCGTTGCCCAGGGTGCACCACGAGGAGGTAAATCTATCTCACACCCCCAGGAAGCCAAAATAACATTCAGTTCCTGAAATATAGGCAGCGTAATTCATCAAAAGTGGTGCTACAATTAATATCTTCATGGGAATAACTGGTATTGTGCCTAGCCCATTTAAAATCCAGTCGTACGTCGATGCAAACATATATACGAAAACTCAATCGTTTCTTTAACCAGGAGCTGCATATTTGTCGGGGGTAATTATTGGAATAAAAAAGGTTTGCTAACTTTCGCTCTTCGGAAGCAAATGGAATCTTAGTTCAAGTTAGGAAAGTCTATTCAGCGGCTAGAGGGTGGGATGGGAAAGCGTGTTGCAAAAGTGTTGCTCACTGCTTCACTTCCAAAAATTCATATCTAGTAATTCGATCACTGAAGTTAAAAAAAACATGGTAATCTTACCTGTTCTCAAGTAGCGAACGGGGTCGTAGAGAAGAATTCATTAATGGCGAACTATTATAGTAACATGTTCTAAAGGCGATCGTCCTGATGGAGTTCTCGAGATTTCGTAGATTTCCAAATAATTTTATATTATGCTAAATCTTTTAATGGACTATAATCCCGATTGCATATCGTTACTCATATCACTATTAATAATTAGCAAATACCCTAATGATCTTCAATGCGGTTATTTGAAGCACACTTGAGATATTATGGATTTATGTTTGCTTGATAGTATTCTTATGAAGCTTGGCTTTGAACCATAAGATTGATTTCCATTCTGCATCTGAATTTCGTACTGAATAGCCCACAGCGAACAATAAATGATGACATTCTTATGAAAATATAGCTGGTCTTAATCATCTGACTTTCTGTTCGAGAGATTTATCAGTTCATACTATGAGGAAATGGAGGAAAGTCATTGTGCTTTCATAATCAAAACTGAGCGACCACAATGATAAAAGAAGCGAAACACAAGTGGTTGTTTTTAAAGTTGGGGAGAAAGACCAGCCTTAGATGTTGTTACAGTTTTGATTGGCCTCTTTCAGGGTTTCTCATCACTTTAATAATTATAATCCTTATTTTTTAAAATGGGCTGATCTTCGGAGAAATTTGTTTGCTGATAGTAAAATATATAATTTCCATTACTGAATTTCAAACCGACATACCCTTTATTGCGTCTTGGAACGGTTCTATCCACAGTTTTATTCATTCCCACGCCATTCAATTAACAAGTCTATCGAAATAGTCTTTTCTGGATTTCTAAAAAGATATTTAATTAACCCATCAATTTTAGGTCTTATTGTTAACTCATTCAATAATCTCTCGCTATACTCGAGAAATCACCTATTCCCCAAAATAGATTCAATCACTTTGAACCTACAAAACAGCCAATCACTTATACTTGTGGTGAATGCATATTACTTGGAATTTAAATTCGTTTATATTATATTTTTCCTGATTAACTTCACACAATAATATGATAGGATTGTCTAGAGATGAGGTTATCTGATTGATCCCATTGAAAATCGAAACAATGAGTAGAAAGCAGTTACTGGCATTTGTTAAACAATTTTTTCTGGTTGTATCCGTTTTTCGGATGAGAACATCATATTTAGGAGTTAATTCGTTTCATCTATTTACTTAGGAAATAATAAAGACAGGCCAGCATACGTCATTGAAAAAAATGTGTTTTTCAGACGGATTATTTTTTAAACAATGTTCCAATTTCCCTACTGTCTTGACGTTGAAACACATTTAAGTCATTTCCAATTGTTGTATAAACATAAGTTACAGAAAAGCATCATAATTGATTTTAAACTTGCCTTGGCAAATCTATTTGGTTTAGTTGAGAAATTTCGGAGTAGAATTGGGAGATTTATTTTATTTTCCCTTCACGGCTTTGTCATGCGTTTGTTCAGTAACAAGCACGCCAAGCAAAGGGGTCACAGCGCTTGAATTGGTTGGAGCGGGGTCATCCACTTCACTGTATGCGTACTGACGGCCATATAACTGGAGACTTCTGGTATGGCTGAGGCAAACGTTGATTACCACCCAATCGGAGCAAAAAATATTCATTTGGAATAATTTTTATCCAAAGCCTAGCAACAACTTAGAAATTAAAGCTATTTCTTATAGGGAGGGGGGGGGGGGGGGAAAACATCTGGTTTTTATTATTATATTTTATTAATACTTTCCAAACTACACTACTCTAAATAGCGATCTTTGGTCCTTAATAAGCAAGTTTACTTTCATAGCGCACTAAATTTCAGCTTTATGGAAGTTGCAAAAGGGTGAGTAACTTCATCTACAATTTCTTACGGATACAGTTTAATTGGCTTTGAATATTGAATTAGAGCATTTATGTTTTAAAAACCTGTAGCTAATTTTAAGATTTTTTCCTAATTTCTCGATTTGCTGATTTAGCAGGCCCTTTACTGCCTTAGGCATGAAAAATTAATGTTTTTGAGATGAGTTCAACAGTTAAACTTAAAGGAAAACACGCAAGCTTTCGAGATTAAATGAACTCAGTTTCTTGCTTACCGAATTAGTTTAACGCAATCTCAAAAGCCAAACATTAGACAGCATATTTTTGCAACATTAATTTATTTAAAATGGCAGGCGTTTTGATGGTTATCATTAGCCCTTTTGCTGACTTCGGGCTATGCTAAGGGTAGGAACACCAAAGTGGGAAAAATTCTAGAGGGGAGCAGAAGAGTGATTCATGGTTGTAAAAGGGGCAGAGAGACACAAAGGCAGAGAAAAGGTAAGGTGAGTACCGCGGAAGTAGTCGAATATGACATACAGTGGGGTCGTGGTAGCTTAAAGTCAGACGTCAACTGCTGGTTTATATACTTTTTTGCCATATAAATATACGTTGTCCAGGGTGCACCACGTGTTGGTAAGTCTATCGCATACCCCCATTTTTACAATATTGTTGTATCGGTTTTTTTCAGCAGACATGAAAATAATAAAGTTTAAAAACTTAAATTTGGGAGGGGATGAGGGTGTGCATTCTTGTTTAAGCATTGCAAATGATTATTTGTTGGTGATTAAAACAATAATAATTTACCTCTAACCACCAACTAGCATTCCGTAAAGAGGTAATTGCCGATAATTACAGTATTCGTAATTATTTTGAAAGCTAAGTACTAGGATGACAATTCAATATACACGAACATATGTTTATTCTGGCATTGGCTAAGCAAAGAAAGACAAATACACTGTATAAAACCTAAAATATTTTGAAAATTCAATTTGGATTAATAACTCTTACAATGCTATTGAATTTGCCCTGGTCAATGAGCACAGTCCGTACTTAGACCACATCTTGTAATTTTACGCGGATGAGTCAAAGCGTACTCAGAAAAATGTACTGTTTTATTTATTTAACAAGAAAATCACATTTGTTTTCGACACCGCCACCATTTTTGCTTAAATACTTCTTTAAACTATATTATAACTTGTAAATTCCTTAATGGTAGAGTTTTGGAGCTTCCTCTGCTAACATGAAATTGCATTTTTTCTGCTACAATTGAAGAAGTAAATATGGTGCCTTTAGGGTGCCCTTTAAATATTGGTCTGTAAAATGGATGTGGTAGTGGTGTCCATCGAAATTCATGAAGCAGGACCTGGCAGGTCTTGAAGAATGTGCACAGACATTACCCTGATGAAACAAAATTTTACTTTGCAGTATATTGCATAGTTTTTTTGGCGAGGGATGTCTTCAACTGCTTTCAAATGTCTTCATAATAACTTGAGGTGGTCGTTTTCGGTCCTGTTAGAAAGTATGTCAAAATATCGCTCCTTTAGAATCCCCAAAAATTGTGTCAATGAACCTAAAGCACCTTGCAGCTGTAAACTTGACAGGCCCAGATGTGCAATTTCGATGCCACTAATTTGATTAATTTTTTATTATGGATCAAATTGATAGTTCCAAGCCCATAAAAATATCCTCATTTGCTTCCATTTTGCCAAAGTTGCTAAAGAATGTTCAGCTCTTTGAATTAGTTTATTTTCCTAGAATACTTTTGGAACCCACCGACAGTTTGTCCAAGTCAAGATTTTCAGTGAAAATTTAAAATGTTCGTTCGTGCACGATTTGTTCTTTATTAGCAATCAACCAATGGCAACTCTTCGATCTTAGTCCACTAGGTTCTGGACAAAAAAGATGTTGTATTGATTGCTTGCTGTGGTGGGTCTCCTACCTCATGGGTCGTCATCAAATTCCACTCTACCCTCTTTCAAGCGCCTAATGCAATCATAAATGACTGCTCTATGTGGTGCAGAGTCCTATAAACCTGTCGTAAAACTACTACAATCAGGGCAGATTTCAAATTTAGCTTTTTTAAAAATCTTATTTTAGCTCTGATCTCAAAATTTGCCATTTGAAGGGCTGAAAATGTTACCTATTTTGAGATGCTACCTATCTTGAACCTGACCTTCCGTAGAATGTTTAAACAGCTGCATATTATTACTGAACCTCTAAAAACATGTTTGAACTTGTAAATCTAGAAACTCTTTGTTCCATTTAAAGTTATGGAAATTGTCTGAGAACTGTTTGTCTCATCCTCGTATGGTAAAAGGTTTCTTAAATATCCCTTTTTATCAATTTTTACAAAGTTTACTTCCAACCATAGATTTGATGATACTTAAACTGTAGTTCGACATATGCAATCATCATTCAGTCACCACATACTCCTAAGGTTGTAAATTTGAGTGCCTCTTTTATATGGACCTCCAATAAATTTCGTTTATGAAAAAGCGAAGAAAATAAATTTATAAATCTCGATTGACCTCAGTACACATATCTAATTAAATTGCTTTTAAGGGAACTTGGTTTCTAACTTATCAAGTTACATTTTTAGAGAAGTGTGATCTTATAGAGATTTAATAATATGGGCAGATATTGAGAAGAGCTATTACAAAGCTCTTCCATTGGATCATAGAAATTAATTGTATTTGCAATTGATCTTTTTGCATCATAGTCAAGTGCAGAGGTTAATATTACCCAAATAATAACGATTTCCCATATTATAAATTTGACGAAATAGTCCATTTATCAATTGCCAGCGTTGAAACTACTTCCATTTTTTTAAATACGATGAAATTTTACTTGAGTAACTATGCATTACGAAAAGGAATAAGAAAAAATAATGAAAAGAAGTTATCAGAGAAGATTTGCCGGGAGTCACCGTTATGTAAATTTGCATTCATCACGTCGCTTTAGTCAAGTTTTAAAAATTTGTCAGCGATTTCAGGCTGTATACGCTGTGCTTTGTGGCAGTATAACCAATTTTATAAAAGCAGGAGATACTTGAAAGACAATTTAACTGAGCATAATTTTAACGTAACAATGATATATATTCGTACAACTTATTAAAATCTAGTTTGAACAGTTTAATTAGCCTAATTAATTTAACCTAATTAATAAAGTTTATTTGAATCTGTATTTTTTATAACTAACTAACTAACTAACTAAGTTAATCGTATCATTAATTTTAGTCCCCCAAAACTGCTGGTGATATGCCAATTCAAATTGGTAACAAGACCGAATGCGCTCTATTAGGTTTTCTTAAACATTTCGGTCTAAACTACGATGATATTCGCAATCGCTATCCCGAAAGTGACTTTGTAAAGGTCTACACCTTCTCCTCCACCCGAAAATCCATGTCCACAATCATTCATGCACCTGAAGACGATCCTCATGATGTGAGCTCAGCCACTGCTAAGAGTACTACAATGAAACTTCTACTGCTGACCAAAGGCGCAGCTGAGATGGTTATTTCGAAGTGAGTTAAATAGCCACAATACACTCTTAGTTTACATTGTTACATTGAAGAAAAATGATGTCATAGTAGGCGACGAGAGAAATTAGAGTTCACTTATTGGCAGAGGTGTTTTGTGTGGTTTGGCAAATGCGATATTTGTAGGCGGAATGTTTGCCCATCACAAATACTTGACAACTTTAACCTGAATCTACTGAATTTGGTACATAATTTAAATTTGAAGGAAGGGTAGCAACTAAGTTACAACAAAAACCTGTTTACTCATTATTAACTTTTAATTTAACTTACTTATTGATCTAACTAGAGCTTTATTAAGGTACATTTTGAGTGATTTTGCTATCTATTCCAGGTTTTTTCAGCTACTCAGAATACGCAACTACCATAACCTGTGGAGAAAGAGTGGTGCTTTTAATCTTTATTATTATTATATCAAATGTCAGGCGTTTTGATTGTTATCATTAGCCCTTTAGTTGACTTCAGTCTTCACAGAGGGGAAGGAACATCAAAGTGTAAAAAATTCAAGAGGGGGGGGGGACAGAAGAGGGTATCGAAGACGAAGGTAGATAAGGTGGAAAAAAGGTGGGATGAGTACTGTGAAAGTAGTCGAATATGACACACAGTGGGGTCATGGTAGCTTGAAGTCAACTGCCAGGTAATAGACTTTTTGCCGTATGAGTATACGTTGCCCAGGGTGCACCACGTGGAAGTAAGTCTATCACACACTCCGCTTTTAAGCTAAATTATCCCATTCTAGTTCTTAATTCAACCAGTTTTAAATTCAGCACTTAAATCTGGAACTCAACAAATTGAAATGTAACTTTGTTGTTATATTGATCCTGGTATAGTGAGTTTTCTTTCAATCGGATAAAGCATTGTAAAATTTTTGCTCAAAACGAATTCGGACTGCATCAAAAAAAAACACCGAATTCATCTATTTGCTTTCAATTCTCAATATTTACTTAATAAATGCATTCAATATTTCACGTACCCCTACTTGAACCCCG